CCCATGTTATTCATGTGTTATTGCGTGTTATTTATGTGTCATTGTGTCCTGGGAATATTCCTCTGGTAACACGGAGAATATTCCCCATTATTATTCTGGTGTTATTGTGTCATGAGAATATGTTTGGTGTTATAATAACACAATAACATATCAGTAACACATGAATAACACACAACAACACATGAATAACATTGGGGAAATATTCCCCGTGTTACCGCACCGTTTTTTTTCCTGTTGTGTGGGGTGTCGTGGCCTGATTTCATTGGCTACGCACGTTCCTCTACGTCCGTTGTACTGATGTAATTTTTTTTCCATTCAAAGTAGCATTGAAGGAGAGAAGAGGACGGCTGCAGATCTAAAACAGTGAAAAATCAACGTTCTTGTGAAAGAACTTTGGCCGAAGTTTGGGGAATGTTCATTCACCAAACGAAACTTTTCTTTGCATCGGCTTCCATGAGAACGCAAAGGAGCTTCGCCGCGCCCTCAAAGGAAGCCTAAGTGGCTAGTTCCAGACTTCCAGCGAAGTTAACGTGCACTCCAAACAACAGTGCTTATAGGTTGCCTTCAATAGTAAAGAATTCTTAACGATCTGCACATTGCTATTCACCCCCTCTCTCTTTGTGAGTCCTTCTCTTCTCTCTCCCTCATCATTTGGTTGTGCCATTGAGGCTTTTGTTGCTTTCTGGATTGGGTGTCTCAGGGATTGGAAGGGGAGGGGTGGCTTAGGGAGGGAGGAGATTCTGGCACCAGTGATTGGCCGTGCGGACATCTGAACAAATTATTTTTTTTCTGCAAAAGAAGAGAATTTTTTATGTGCATGAATCATAGCACGGGCATATATATAATTTTTCAGATTGTGATCCTCTATCTATTATAAATAGAGAGGATCCATAGCATGTACGGGTGATTTTTTTGCCTCTCTAAGCTTTTTGGCTCCTTCCTCAACTCATACTCTGTATAAAGATCCCCAAAAATATAATAGATTTCCTCTCACGGGACATGTATATGTGTCATCTTTATTTCTTTCTTCCTCTCTTTATTTCTCCCTCAGGGTCCCTACTGCTCCAATCCTTAGGCATACTTCACAGAACATTTGTATATATATATATATATATTATAATGTATTTTGTATTATGTATTTATATAAGAATGGTGGAATTAGTAGAACATTTATGTGAGGCTTGTAGGGGGAACTAGTTGATAGTCTTCTCCCCAATTAGAATCTCTTCAACTAAGAAGCAAAGCATACTTTAATCATTAATTTGTAACTTAGCTATTCTTACGATTTAACTTTCTAAAAATAAATGACAAATTTAAGGCAGCTAGCTTTTTTTTTTTATTTATTTAATTTTTTTCTCATTTTAAAAAATTTTAAAAATAACAAAAATCATAACCAAGCATAGCCACGAGTAGGGGGTGTAAACGAGCTGATGCTTCGTGTTCGTCGTCTTCGACTCGTTTATATTTCGAGCTCAAATAGTGTGTTCGTGTTCGACTCGTTTGATTAGCGATCCGAACACGAGTTGTACACGAACAAAGAGTCGTTTTGACAACTCTAACCATGTAACCATAAGATGTTAAGTATTGGGGCAAGACTTAAAACATCATTTGAATCTAATTTAATTATTTTTATTCTATTTTCTTAATTAATAATTTTTATATTGATTATAAATCTTTATAGCCCTGTAGTCAATTTTTTTTTTTTTTTTAAATACGAACCAAAACGACCTGAACACGAACTAATAAATATTTGTTCGTGTTCGGTTCATTAACTTAGCGAGCGATCCGAACACGAGCTATTCGCGAATAACGAGCCGTTTTACAGCCCTAGCCACAAGATAAATTTCTTTAAGAAAATAATTATTCTATATTTTCATATCTAACGTAAGCTTTTATAGAACACACATAAAACTCAAATCCTTAAAATCATATAAAAAAATATGATTATTATTAAATTTTAAAAAAATGAACAATGTTTTGTCATCAAAATATTATAAATAAAAAATATCAAATTTATTTGTTAGATATGCAAAAAGATTAAAATTATGTGGTATATATGTAAACATTTTAAAAACAAAATAACAATTTAGTAATAGGCATAGAATTTAACATATTCACATGAGAAATTTTTTCTCATGGACGAGGACATATTAACTAAGGATAGCTGTGAATTTAATGGTATCGTGGTGTTATGCACTGCAACATCACCATAATATCATCAATACATTGTCTGCACGTAATATTTCCTTCACGGACATAGATGGCCATCGAAATGGTGAATGCTTATCAAGTGCTGGTTTTTGAGATGTAGTCAATTGTGCACCGGCGGCTGCTACAGCGGCCTAGAGATAGAAATTTTGGGGAGTAGCGACATTCAAATGCGGGGGCGGGGCGGGGCGGCGATCGCCAGCGCCCTGGCGAGGGAGGTGAACCGAGACCCCCGGCGGCCACAAGGTGGTAGCTGGGCAGACATGAAGCTCTGAATCGAGTAATCAGCTAATGGGTAAATGATTATTACACTCTGAACTTATTAACAATGAGTTTGATTTGGTTCTTTTTTTTAATGATTATTATGAGTATTATAAATATATATTTCCTTTAATTTAGGTCCAGGAGAATGACTTGTTAACTAGAATTGACACCTCTAAGAGATTGCAATGTTGTGCAATTGCATATATACCACATCAGAAATTTAAATAAAATAAAATAAAATATGAAAGCATACAGAGATAAAATAGAATTTTAATGTCCTAAAAGCATCCCAAGCCACAGGATTTCAAGCAAATAAATTACATGCAGAAGGACCTCAAAACAGGTTATATTGCAGGTTTTTCAAACTTTATGTGCCAATCAATCATCTCTATTTTATTAGATGTCTCTACCGGGGATGTCTCTGGCAGTGTTCGTCGGGTTCCCTCCCTGATAAGCAGCTGCAGCTCCAGGTTGCCCGCCCGGAAGTCCTCCATTGCCGCCGCCACCACCCTGGTGATAACCACCATTACCTTGGTCGGAAGGGCCTCCATTTAGATAGTTGGAGCTATAGTTCCGTTGGGACGGAGCCTGGCCACCTGCCGGGGAGCCCGGAGGGACACCTGAAAGGCCACCCGGAGGGCCCCCTTGGGGTCCTTGATTACCACCATAATAAGGGGTGGAGCTGCTGGGCTGGCCCGACGGATACATCGGGCTGTGGGGAGGACCGGCCTGATATGCCGGACCGCCAGGCGGACCGGACTGATAACCCCTTGGGGTCCTTGATAGTTGGAGCTATAGTTCAATTATACTTTAAGTGCGTGATCTAGATCCACTTTGACTCGGGTCAGATCTTTTTTTGATGTCAACTGGATTGTCTCCCTAAGACACTTTGCTTGATCATAAATTGGTGTATCTAAATTTGATTTTTGGTCAAAATGTGTGTCGAGATTTATGCAAATCACTATAATTTTCTAGTAACAAATGAGTTGCCCCTATTTTCATACGTTAATGCTGAAGACATTGAAACCATATCTCAATATTGCCCAAAAAATTAGGTGCCTTGGAATAGCAATTTTGAAGTTTTTTTACATGTATTTGAAGAAAGTAAATCTACTGTAATTTTCAATATTAAAAAAATAAAATAAAGACATGAATTCATGGTGAAATATTATGTATAATATTTATCACATTGTTAGTGCATGAAATTGTAACTGTTGCAGACATGTGCTGAATAATAATATAAACAACATGATATCATAAGTGCAGGAAAATAATATGAAAATAAATATTCATTTATTTATTTAAATTATTTTAAAAAAAATTTCTTCTCCTCGTTATACCTTCACTTCCACTTATATCTCCGCATGTTCATATTTCTTCATGCCCATTATAACTCAGCTTTCACTTATACATCCACTTGTTCACATCTGTTCAAGCGTATCTAACGCACATATAGATAATTACATCGGTGCAAAACCACTTATAACTCAACTTGATCGCAAATAACATACATCCGCCCAAATAACATACATTCGCCCAATCAGAACCACCGACAACCTCCCCATTATTTTTCATATTTGACACATATTTTGATACAAAAGCATATAAATATTAATAATTTGACATATTAAATATCTCAAAATACCGTAGAAAGTGGTCCATACTAGTAGGTACAAGTAATAATGTAATTTGCGGTGAAAATGAATCTACACATATCGACATGCAAATTTGCAAAACCACTTATATAAAATGTACATAATAATATCCCAAGCATTTCTTGTTTTACAACAAATTTAGCAGGTTTAACAAACGTACCAAAATATACAAAATATTATATAACGCAGAATGTGTAGATATTTATGTTTTTATTTAAAAATAGAACGTTAAAAGAAATTTTTTTGGTTTTTTATTATTTTTTTTTACATAAAAAATTTATATAAATTCATTCTCATTTTGAAATATATAACTCCAAAAATTACCAAAAAATTGTTAATAAATAGAAAAATATGTTTAGAAAACATTGATGCAGTTGATTTGCAAAACAGACACTAGATGGTTCCAAAAATCTCAAATATCTCTTATATAATTTAAGAAATAAAAATCTTACTAAAACCTTTTAATTTTTTACTTATGATGGCCATAAAAATAGGTTAAAATATGTCAAAAATATAATCTAAGTATACTCTACAATTTGGTGAAGATGTTTTATAAATCGGACACGAAATAAAAGTACTTAAAATTGACTAATGAATTGAGTATAAAATTAATTCCATAAACTTCAAAAAGATCAATAAACATAAAATAAACATGTCAGACGTACCGGATCTCAAAATCAGCTCCCAACAGATGCACTGGTAAACTACATTAATAGTTGTTACATTGTCCTCTCCTTTGAAAAATGCGTCCTCGACATTCAAAATTAATAACT